GTCTGCAAACAAAGTTGGGTTTAACTTCATCAACAAAACCTTCCGGCTGCCTTATGTAAACCTCTTCATCAAGCTTTCCATTTAGAAAAGCGTTGTTAATATCTACTTGTCTGATGCTCCAACCTTTAGACACTGCAAGTGTAAGAATAATTCTCAAGGTGGATGCCTTTATTACTGGACTAAATGTTTCATGGTAGTCCACACCTGAGGTTTGCAAAAAACCTTTTACAACAAGCCTTGCCTTGTGCTCCAGAATTCGTCCTCCAATATCACGCTTAATCCTATATACCCATTTGTTTCCAATGATTTTCTGACTAGTCAGTGGTGGTACTAGTTCCCAAGTTCCATTTCTTATCAGAGCCTTCTATTCATCCTTCATTGTTGCCTCCCAATTTTCATTTGACAGAGCTTTAGAGACATTGTTTGGTTCTTGGTTGTTTGGATTCATGTTGTACTATTGACAGAGGGATGAGTAGACCTTGGGTTTGAAGATCCTTGTCTTGCTTCTGGTGATCATAGGATGTTGAGTAATTTTATTCTCATGCTCTACTACATTGTGATTCAGATCATTTCTTTCTCCAGTCTGTTCTTCCTCCTGAATGATTGCATCATGTTCTGAGCATTCACCATCATTGCTAGTCTCTATGTTACCATTCTGATTTACATCAGTCATCAGATTTTCTGTTGATACGAGTTGATCATTGCCAGAAGGTGTTGCAGTTAGGGGAGCATCAAAATGAGCTGTATCAGTTGAGCAACTAGGAGTAAAGATTTGAGGAGAGTGAAGGGGAATATATTGAACAATGGTTTCAGACTGCTGTTGATCGATCTTTTTGTTGAGAAATCCAGTTTGAAAGGGAAACTCTTTCTCATTGAAAACTACATGTCTTGATATGTAAATTTTGCCTGTGGGGCTAAGGCATTTATAGCCTTTATGAAAGTTAGAAAAACCAAGGAAGACACTCTTTATAGAATGGAAATTGAATTTGTGAGCCTGATATGGTCTGAGGCAAGGGAAGCAGGAACAACCAAAGATTCTGAGAGACTTGTAGTTGACTTGTTCATTGCTGAGAATTGGCAAGGGGATTTCATTTTAAGAGTGGGACTTGGAAGTCTATTGATGAGGTAAGTAGCGGTGTGAAAGGCTTCCCACCAGTAGTGTAAAGGCATACTTGACTGAGCCAGAAAAGTGAGGCCAGTTTCAGTAATATGCCTGTGTTTTCTCTCAAACTTTCAATTTTGGGCTGAAGTATAGGGACAAGAAAAACTCATAGCTATGCTAGACTGTTGAGTGAAGTGAGTGAATGCTCTGAATTTACCTCCCCCATCAGATTGGATTGTTTTTATCTTCCTTTCAAACTTGTTTTCAACTAAGTTTTTGAACTGAATGAAGTGGTTTATAGCTTCAGATTTATTTTTCATTGGGTAGATCCATGTGAATCTACTAAAATCATCAATGAATAGGATGTAGTATCTAAAACCTGAGGTTGAATTGATGGGTACAGGGCCCCATACATTCGTATGAATTAATTCTAAAGGAAAAGAAGAGTGTGAGTTAGACAATTTGAAAGGCAAAGAGTGAGATTTTCTAAGCTGACAGGCATCGTATAACTCATTGATTTCATTGAAATTGATTTTCTCATTACAAGATTGAGACATTACAGGTGTTGAGGGATGTCCAAGTCTCATGTGCCATTGTTTTAGTTTAGACTCATTCTTGACAGTGGAACTTGACACTTCAGTTTTAGCAGTAAAAGCTAAAGGACTTGACTCATTTAGGTAGATTGGCTTTTGAGATGAGAAATCTTTTGAAGGAGTTGGATACACGAATTGATACAACCCATCTTTAAGCTTCCCCTCCAGCAGCACTTCCTTCGTTTGTTGATCCTTAACAACACAAAAATCATGATGAAACTCCATAAATACATTATTGTTAGAAATTAACTGAGATACACTAATCAAATTTTTCTTGATAGCAGGCACAAGAAGAACATTGTTAAGGATTAAGGATTTGCTCTTTAGTGTGCTCAGTTTATTAGTGCCAATGTAAGAGAGAGAAAGTTTGTTACCATTGCCAACTATTAGTCTTTCCTTACCAACATAAGGGTGTGCCTCAAATAGATTCCTTGTTTCTGATGTTACATGACTGCTAGCTCCTGAATCAGCAAACCAAACAGGATCTGTAGAGATGCTAGTAGTGGCTACATAAGCAGCTGGTACTGAGTTATTGTTCTGATAGTGCTGATCAGGTTTTGTTCCCATGTAACGTTCGTCATATCTATTATGACATCTCTTAGCTGAGTGATTACTCATTCCACAAATTTGACAAGAACCTATGTTACTAGTCTGCCTGCCACCTCTAGCTCTGCTTCTTCCACCTCTATAGTTAAAACTTCTTCCACAGAGATTTGACCTACTTCCTTTGTTAAAGCCAAGTCTATGCACAAAGTTAGCAGATGCTTGACTCAAGTTAACTGATGCTAAGCTGTTTTTCATAGCATTTAGATGCTCAATTCGACTCTCATAGGTCATCAATATTGATTACAGTTCATGCCAAGAGATTGATTCCCTGTTGTTGATCTGAACAACTATGGGAGTGTACTCTTCATTAAGCCCAGCCAGAACTTATGTTACAAGATCATTTTGAGGGATGTTCTTGCCTGCAATTTCCAGATTATCCGCCAGCTGTTTGATGGTGTTAAGATACTGATCAATGCTCATAGAGCCTTTCCTTGTCCTTTGGAGTTCACTGATAAGGAAAGTAACTCTTGATTTGTTCATGACTCCAAAGCTTTCTTGGACGGCATTCCAGAAACTTGGGGAGGTTAAGGAACCCATTACTCTCATGGCAATTTCAGGGGTCATTGAAGAATAGAGCCAGCCCATTAAGAGTTGGTCTGTGGACATCCATTTTACATATTCTGCATTTGGTGTCATCTCAACTGTAATTCCAGCTGAACCAGTGGTTTGAGTCGCCAAATACTCAGCAGGGCAGGTTCTCATTTCGGTGATAAACCCTTCAAGATTATGCCCTTTGATGATGGGCATAACCATGTTTTTCCACAACAAGAAATTGTTCCTATCCAGCTTTACTGGAGGAACCTGAGTTAGATTCATTCCAAACGGCTGCACCTGATTTCCTCCCATCGTTGAAGGCATCAATGTGCTGGTAGCTGGCAGTGCTGATTGGGCATTATCGTTTGATCCTGTGTTGGCCATTGTAGGCTATGATATCAAGTTGAAGTTAATGAAAAACTTAAAGGTTGAACTTATGAAATAGCCGCTAACACTAGGAGCAAAAGCTTAAATATATTTTACTTAAACTTTACAATGAATGTGATACAAATATATAGACAATCTTGGAGTAGTGAGCAAGTAAAAATAACAGATTAATGATGGAAATATTCACGTGAGTGCAATGCATTTTAAATAGAAATTAGAATCTAAAAATGGGACCACAGGAAGCTGTTGTTGCTGCTGATTCATTGTGCCATGTTTGGTACCACTGATTCCTTATGCCATGTTTGGTAAAATGTAAACTTTTAACAAAATCGACTTCTTTTTTTAGTTAAATTCTCTCGTGATCCTTGAGACCTTGACCATACAAATTCTCTCGTTTAATCTTATTACATCAGTCTACATCGCCATAACTAATATGTCATACTGGATAAGTTTTCTTATTTTTGATCACACAAATTTCTCAGACAAACTAAGTTTCCCCTGATTTTATTTCAGTCGAACTTTATATGTTACAGAGATTTCAAAAATTTCCCTTTTAACGATTTTGTACAGTTCCACGTTTTGAGATCATTTGGGGTCATACCAATGGATCATTTATGAACTTATGAGGCATATTTCTCATAAGTTTCTACACCAAGAATTCTTTTCATCAACAAAAGGATTAATCTCATGTATCGTTCTGTATTTCACTTGGAAAAAAACTCCAAAAATAAAAGGGAAATGATACATTACAAAAAGCCCTTGTGGATATTTAAGTATAAAATATGAAGACTGAAAAGAGGATCAATCTGGGATCATTTGCAGAATGTATAGACAATGGCTGGAGACTTTGGCTTTCGATAATAATTTAAGATCCCACAATATTTTGTCTTAATAAAATATGTTTAGTGCACACATTAACAAACTTAAAACTAATCAAGTTGCCACATGCATTCTACATAAACAAATTAAATAAATAATATGCATTTAGCAGACCTTAAACTCTCTAAGTCGTGAGGAGATGATAGGATAAAGAAGGAAGTATTTCTTTGATCGAATTTTCAACCATTGTAGGAATAAAGATATATCTATCGAGACCCCAGGATTAGTCGCTTAGAGCGACACAAAATTTTAATTAAATTTTCATTGTTGGTCTTATATTGCATCCAAAGCCCAAAAATGAAAGATCTTTGATGGTATTTGGACCTCCTATGCCTCAGCACAAAGTCATGTACAAATAGGTTGTTTGAGTCCATGATATGGCACATGTTTGGTTTAGTTAAAAATCACAATTAGAGCTTATATATTTTATTTTATACATGTATACAATTGATATACATTATGTTCCTACCCACCCCACGGACCCCACCTCATATAGAAAATCTCCGGAAATTGAAAATGTTCTCTCCCTGCACCCCAACCCACCCTACCCCACTATAGAAATCTTCAAAAATTCAAAGCATTTTCTGTGACCAGATTTGTGACTAAATGTGTTATTTATTATCAGATTTATTGATTGTAACCAGACTTGTGTTATAGTCGACTAATTGTTTGATTATAGTATTTATGTGAGATAAGTTGACCTTAATGACAAATTTTCTTGGATCAAACAATATTAATAATTTTATATCTTTTTTATTTAGAATAATGCAATTTGTTGTAGCTCACTATCTTAGCCGTTATATGTGATATACATGTGACGGTTAGTAATTTGTACATGAAGTGCCTGAAAATATGCCTACGTCCTTATCGTCACTTGCACATGTACTATTTTCGTGTACATGAAAGTGCATACGCCGTCGATGATCCTTCAAAATTCTGAGGATCCAGTACCATATGTTCTCGGTCGTACTCATAACTGTATCAGGTCTCTAAGATGAATAGCATATGGTCAATTGTACAATGTAGGCAATGAAAGTCGACAAAATAGATCCTTAACCTCAAGAAAAGAATGACTTTGAGGGTTGGGCATGGGGTCCCAATCCCAAGCCCGTCGATAGACTTCGCGAGCTATTCCTGCGATGAGAGCGGGTCGTTCTAGCAGAGTTGCCTTGTTGCCATGATCCGTTGAGATTCAGCCCTTTATTATTCTAATTCGTCTCTCTCTTTCCATTTCTCCCAACTATAATGTCCTTTATACGAGAATGTTTTGAAGCTTACACATGCGTGACTTAATCTTTGAAACATGCGTATCACTACGATAGGATCAACCATGCATCATTCCTCTACGAAGTCGACCTCGCATGGATGAAAGCTCAAGAAGAGGAAGAATGTTATTCGCACAGACCGTAGAAAGCTTGTTTAGGGGTAACGTCCTCGTAACCATTTAGTATTCCGCATTCAAGAATTCGAGCATATCGCCTGGGCTAAGTCTTGCCTTTGTGTGCATGAAAGTGCGTGAAAATGTCCCTCGTCATGCAACGACCTATACATAGTGTTGCATTCGTGTGCCTGAAGTGTCTACTTCACTGCCATGGCCTACACACATTACTACCTTTGTATTCTTACAACGGTCTGCACACGATGATGCATTCATATGTAATCATACTTTCGTAACAACGTTACTTTTTGATCCCTAACCATCACATGTATATCACGTAGAACAATTACGATAGCTATGAACGACTGCAAATATTAAAAGTTAACCATGGCCAACGTCCCTATCACATATATGCCACATAGGACGTTCATAGCATTGATCTTTTATTTATCGCATTTATCAAAGATTCAAGAGAGTAAAAATTTAAAAAAAAAAATCTAACTTCCTGCCAAAAGTCAACTTGCTGCATTTCTACCCAGTGAGTGGCTTAAAATCTGCCACGAGGACATCCTGCAGCCACCGAATGTGGAAATCCCAAATACACTTCAACTACAAGCTAACCGTTCATCTGGAGTGGATAAATTAACGATGGCCATTGTCACCGTCACCTCCTCCACTTCCACGACCCTCTTCCCCACCGCCACCTCCGCAGGCTCCATAACCCACCACCAGTCTCTCCACTTAAATACCAAGCTACCGTTCACAAAATCCACCTCCAAATCCATTCGACCTATCACCAGGCTCCACGTTTCCTCCACGCCCTCCACCACCACCTCTTCCAAAAAAGCCACCGAAGAAACCATCTTTTTCGATGGCGGAGCCCACTATGGAGACCTCATAGCAAACCTTCTACTGGGTTTCACTCTTCTTTGGCTTCCTTTAACCCTAGCAGCAGTTTTAAGGGCCTTTTATTTGAGATACAGGTTTACAAATTTGAGAGTCAGTGTTATATCTGGATTAACTGGGCAGGACAGAAGTGATTTTTCGTATGAAGTGATCAAAGATGTTCAGGTGCGTCGAAAACCCGAACTTTGTTTCAAAGTGATCGTCAAACGATAATCTGACGTGACTAACAATTAACGTTATTTTTTTTTTTTAAGGTTGTTCCAAGATTTATTGGTGAGTGGGGTGACATTATCATCACATTGAAAGATGGAACCAAGGTGGATTTGAGAAGTGTGCCTAAGTTCAGAGAAATTGCTAAATATTGCCTTTCCATGGCTGAGAAGCCTGCTGTTTTGAAGGAAACTGGGCCTAAAGGGTTTTGAGAAATTGGATTTGTATTTTGTTTGATTTTATAGTAATTTTCGAATTAAATCAAATTCCATGGTGTGCTAATTTTCAGATAAATGTTTTCTTGATGTTAATGTAATTACGTAAGAAAGCATATGTCAAAAGATAATGGAAATTTGGCATCAAAGTCGGATACCACGTTGAAATATTTCACATAGATTTAACGTAAGATTAATAAATTTTATCACTCGTCCCTTAACATGCCACGAGAATGGATGTTAAGTTTTTTGTGTACTCGATTACTTTCTTTTGTATATCCATGTATCTACGTATATGAAATCTTGTTTATAATTAGCTTCATTTTTTGCCCCCGACTGACAACGTAAGACAGGAAACGTTCCCAAAAAATATTATAATATATGTTGGTAAGGTAAATTAGACGAGTGAAGATTATGTAACATCACTTCTTTAATTGGAAAAGCTCGAAACATTTAATGAGTCGAAAAGAGTAGAGAGAACCTATTCTATGCAGTACCTTGTATAAATTAAGGTTTAGTCTTTCCTCGTTTGGCAGAATTCTTCATCACAAATATACTTCCTACAAAAATTTGATTTCACCATTCAATAAACAGCATTAATGTTACAAATATAGTTTGATAAATTATAATACCCAAGGGTTCAACAAGAGTCGGTTTAACTATCAGGACCCATCTCGGGGGCCCTTACGTGGCAAAACTTCCTCCAATTAACTTCCTCGTGGTGAAACGAAATGGACACCAAGAATTTGTATAAGAACTCAAAGAATTGTCCCCATGGAATGATTCCAGCAGTCAATCCTGCTTTGACGTTGATTGGCTTTCACTGCGTGGAAGTGGAGTTTCCAACCCAATACTGTTTAACTGCAACCAGTATTTTCTGTGGAACGAGGGGACCATCCTCGTGATCAATCAGTTTGAAGTCCCATCTCATACCTCCTATCATCTTCTTCACCTTAACAAGCACGTCAACTTCATCCCTCAATATAACGGCACCTTCTGGCCGCAGAATCCGGTCCATCTCTAAAAGAATGTCTTCAAAGTCACACCTATGATGTTAATTTGATCTATGTTAAAGTCGAGTTCACAGCACAGCACCATTGAAGCTCTCATTATAGGAAAGCATGCCTTACTATTTCCAAATCAATCAAGCACGAGCATCAGAGTATCAAGGGAATACTTACTTGTCCTTGTATAAGCTGAAAACACCATTAGCATGGATCAGGTCATACGTCCTTGGGTATGTAGAGAAAGCTTCACACCTGGACCACAGATTATAAAGAGTGAAAATAAGGAAAAAAATCAAAAAACAACCTTTGTTATGTATAACGCAACGTATAGTCGAAAAATGTTGCAGACCATCATTTTTATAATTGCATGTTGAAGTCGATCGCTTGTTTTAAATTGAGTCAGGTACGTGTTCAGGTATATTAGCCAGAAACTGAGCTCAATCTGCTCAGAATGAAGTAAGACCGTTCATATTTATGAGTTGTGCATGTACTGTGGTATAACACTTGGTAGACGTGAGCCTGTATTAACTTAAAACACAATAAGGTCATGCTTTACAAGACAACTTTTTTTCTTTGCTCTATTAAGTTCTCATATTTTTCAAGCATTCGGAGCATGTAGAAATATTAGGTTGGCCTATACACAGGGTCAACCACGGTACTGCACGAGCATATGTGAGATGAGTGCAAGCCACGATATGTAAAGTTCAACTGGGACAAAAAAGATATAATCCCAATTGCCAATGGTAAGAACAAAGAGGAACATATTTCTTCTCAAAACCAATCAATATAAAAGATTTCAAGCAGGTTAAAAAAGAAAAAATATCAGGCAACATTTGTATGCAAGCCATCAAAAACGCTCAGACGATTAAGGAGTAACATTAGAAACTGTCGGAACAAATGAAACAGAAAATCGTACCAGTCATGATATATACCAATCAGTCCTCGTTCATATATAACACCCAGGGTATTTGTTTTAGCAATAGTGGGCACAACATTCATAACCCAAAATTTGGGAGAATGAAGGGCAGCAGCAAAACCTCCCAATCCAGCATTCATATCCATAATGTTGCGGTACCTTCCAGAGTCAATGATTTTGTTGATCTTTTTATATGCACTAACATGCTTTTTCCATTCTCTATTGTCCTCGAGATATGACTCGACGGAGACTCCAGAAACTGACCCACTGGCAATTCTGGGGGGAACAGCATAAAGCCTCTCGGGGAATGGCTTGAGATCTCCACTAGAGCTTTCATCCCTGTTAGCATTGTTGTATGGAGTAATGCACTGTTCCATTTTCTTGTACCTGTCATACCAAAATAAAGTACAAAAATATTTTAGCTTTGCAACTTCAGTTTCTATATATAACATACAACTTTAGGCACTCCATAAAAAGTGTATGCCACAATGCATCTGCATGGAATCCATGAATTTCACATTTTATGGTGTCTTCATGTATCAAAATGAAAAACTGACACATACACGTCTGTGCAGAAATATTATCAAAACTGCATACCAAACATCATCGGGATCTTCAGATTTACAAAATGTAACTCCTGAATTTTCTTGTGAGGCATGACATGAATCGGCATCCGTTTTCTTCTGCCATATACCAATTTCCCCCTTCTCAGATTTCTTCTCCCAGCAGAGAAGCTTAGCAGTCTCTTCAATCTGCCTTTGTTCTTCCTGAAGCTCCTCCTTAGGGCGCTGCCATGCTTTGAAGTTTGTCTTCCAATTGATGGGAGGGCCTGACAGCACCCAGTAGCCACCAGGTCTAAGAACACGATCAACTTCCTTCATGTAAATTCCGCCTGCAATCAGAAGGAACCAAAAGTGACTGTATGGCCAGATGCTCCATCTAATTATCTAACTGAAGATAAAAGTTAAAACACTGTTGGAAAGAAACCTTCTCACGAGAAGGTGAAAAAGTAAGCTAATATTCCGATATTTGATTAGCCATTACGGGTTGCAGTTCAGTAGCAGTGTAGCTTTGAATCTATAGAGTTATTCAACATTTTATTCTCACCATTTGCTCCCCAAGGAATTAGACAGCGAGAACAGTGAGCCATGTCAAAAGCTCTTGATGGATATGGCATCTTGATTGTTCCAAGAACACCAATTACAGCAGGAACACCCCTTTCAAGAGCAAACTGAACCTGGGCTTCATGTGAGTCCCTTGGCGCGAATGACATTGCTAAAACATTTCTCTTCCAAAGATATGCACCCCAACTTGCAACCTAACACGATAATACATAGTTAGAAGGTTAACCAGATTAATTACTCTCAGATTGGAAAAGAACAACCGGAATATTCAGACAACGAATAGAGTGAGAAGATACTCAACATACCCCACAACCAGTGTCCAATGCAGTCCTAACAGTTCCATTTTCGATTGGTATCACTGAAGCAAGCTGATCAATGTATTTATCAGCTCCTTGAGGAAATTGAGTTCCTCCACCAGGAAACCTAAACACATTGCCTTCGTACTGAATCCAGTTCTGAATAGCCTTCTCAACTGTCAAGCTCTTGTATGGGGCATTGGCATAGGGAACATAATCACGACTCTTTGGCCATGGAAATGGAGTTACATAACCATTCGGTGCCGGAATTAGGCAATGTAACTTTTCGTCTTGAGGAGGGCAATGCCGCTCACGATAAATCATATTTTCCCTGGGAAAGGTCATAGCACGTGCTTGATCTTGGCAGGGCGTGTAATCAGTATAGCGAGGATGGCACGGCTTGTAAGTTTTCACTTTTGAATCGAAATCGTCAATTATTCCAGCTTCACCGCCATGATGGGTTTCAAAATTGAGGTTTGGGAGGATGTTGCAGTTCGCTCCGCTCTTGGTCATCTCCACTGCTATAGTGTCTCCCTTTCCGAACCCACTTCTCTGCCATGCTCCCAGTAAGTAGAAGAAACAACATAGACCAGCTACTATAAAAATTGACACAAAACGGCGAGTTCTATTGTCCCCAGAATTGAACTTGTTTGCCATCACAACACTGAAACAATGATTACTCAAATTTAGATATTGAAATAATTGTAAAGTGAAGCCTGCATTAGCATAATGCATATGCAAATTGAGTAAATAATCCAAATTACTGTCGAATTCGTCGAGGAAAAAGAGGCTATCAAAGCGATCACATTTCCAAAAGATTCGATATATGTCAAATTTGTAAATAATCCATATTTTTCTCATTCTAGTCTGTAATGTCTTGGTTTATCAAAGACTTGGAACTCAAACAGATCTGGGATTGTTTTAGACATCAAGAACTCATTTTCCCTCTTTCAAATCCAGAAACTATAAAATCTATCAAAAACTTAGATCAAGCAAGCAGACAAGCAGAAAATCTGCTACACACTTGACAAAATAAATTTACCATTAGATCGTTAAAGATCATTCATAAAACAGACTATAAACTCCATTAAGTCCCATTTAATGTGATATTAAAGGTTTGATCAATTAATTGAGCTCTTGAATAAGAATAATCTATGAAAATAACGTTCTAATAGTAATCTGGCAAGCAACTTAGTTAACTACTGAAACAGTAGTAAATAGCCAAACACTTAGTCAGTGAGGAATGGATTCATTGACAAGTTCAAATTCGTCACGAAACCCAGAAAATAGATCTCGATTTTTTAGTAAAAGCTGCTATATTCCAAATTCCATCGCTTAATCAATTTAGTGATTCAACCAATGCACCAACTACAAAAACGGAAGAAATTTTGATAGGAAAATAAATGAAGTATTAAATCTCATACCAATGAATCGCATCAATTGATGCCAACGCCGATTCGAAGATGTTGAAAGCTCGTATCTTTATGCTTCAGACGCGTCTCGTCTCTCTCGATTCTCGGACGAAAAAGAAATCTTGTTCTCATTAGGTTATTAATGTCTATACTTTTGACTTTGCCCATATCCCATTTATTATTTTATTTATTACTTATTTTTTTCAATACAATATTATTCATATTTATTAATTTTATATGGTGAAAAATCTACTTTTAAGGGAGCATCGTGTGAATATAAAATTGAACAAACAACTTTTACGTGCATATTAAAAAAAAAAAAACTGAAAAAAATGAAATTATTTGATTATTGCGAAAAGACGTCGTCGAGGTATTTACTAAAAACCTGTTATTTCCCCCAACTGTGACTAGTGGTGACTATTGAATCGAAGAAAGCAAATAAAGAACGATTTGATGTGGAATGTGGTATGAATCGAATAGTTCAAACTTAGAAGTTTGAGAACTCGTCGTCGATGATTATTATTTAATCAGCTTCAATTAATTATCTACTTAAAGAAGCATAAGATCTGATTTTATGATAGAAGTCAAAACTTGTTAAAGTATCAATAAATTCCTACTTTGTTTTTTTTTTAAGGGCGAAGATTCTTGGAAGAAATGCAAAACAATAGACAATTTTTATATTTTTCCTCTATGAAGAGATCTAAGTAGAATTAAAAACTTGAAGATAATTTTGCTTTCTCCTATCTTCTTTTGGAATGGTACGATTATTTTCTCTTGATTTGAGATTTTGCAACATCTACTTTTTTGTTTTATGGTCATATAAAATATAAGGCCCCATTTGATATACAAAATTTTTCATGAAATTGGGAATTTTTTTTTCATTTTCCATCTTTTACGCTATTTGATAGCCTAAATTTTTCTCGAAAAATATTTTCCCTCCCCACCCGCCACGTCACTTTTTGCCTTGTTTTGTTTAAAATATTTTCCCACCATCCAGTCGGCTGCTACATTTTTTTTTTTTGTAATGAAAACAAATGTTATAACCAATTGTAAAAAAAA